TGGGGGGGGGGGGGTTAACTTGGTTTTAAAACGGACGGAAAAGTTGCCCCATTTTCAGGATAATTTTGTCAACACTTTTTTAATGTTTTTAGCACAGAAAATAGTACATGAGTTGTCATTTCCTCACAAATTGTAAAACTTGAGATAAAGACCAATTGTTTGAGATAGGTTTGAAAAATGTTATACATTATAAGTTAGGAAATTAGTTGAAAGAAGAAAAATGTGCCCCAGTGTATGGCATTTCAAATTCAATTTATATTCAAAGTTATTTGTGTTTATAAGGTTATAAGCATATTAGTGAAATTTTGCTTCTTTAATGTAATTATTTTTAGTATTAGTTTTAAAAAGGTATTTTTTTCCAAAGCCACCTTGTTGAAAAATGTAGAGATATTTGTAGGAAAAGGCAATCCAGAGCCACCATAATTTTTGGGGTGACCGGACTGGGTTTTTATTGTTTGTTTTTGTTATGCATTGAGTTTTGATACAATGTACATTTACCAGGGGTATGCATAAGTTTTTGTGGTAAAGAAAAGGCGTATTTTTTCAGGAGAAATTCATTTTTTGTTTATTCAAAAAGTAACTATTGGCTTCTACACACTTCGCTCATCTTTCAGGTAAATTATGAACGCCATGGCAGTAAAACTGCTTGTCTTGTGCGGCAAACCATTCGTCAAGCCATTTTCCAACTTCTCGATATTGCTCAAGTGCTGCACTTGGAGCGCGCGCCCCATTGATGCCAAGAGGTGACAGGCAGATGGCGCCAGGTCGGGGGAGTACCGCGCTTGCGGAAGGATGTCATATCCACGCCATTTCAAAGTGTTTTTCGTGGACTTTGCTGTGTGAGACGGCGCGGTGCATTGGCGTGCATTTGCCGTTCATTCAAATCTCGAGGGACACATTTACTGGTTTTCCCCAATGCTCGTAAACGTCTGCTGATTGTTTCTTGTGACCCATACCAATGTGCCAATGCTTTTGCCAAAGAAAAGCAATGGGTGCCGCAAATGTTCTTTTTCAGGCACAAACTTCAACATAATCGTAGAACGATACAACTCAGACGCTAGCGTTTGGCGAACTCGACTTGTGTGTGTTGGTAGGTTAATGTCAGACGAACAAACTGATGTAGTGTCAAATTCATACGTTGCGTACTGTTAGCTGGGGCCATCAGTTAGTGAAACGGGAAAAGACAGTGTACACACCTGATATTCAATGAGTTAAGACCAACCTTTTGAGTTAGTATCTCATAGATAATATTTATTATATTTTTTATAGATTTTATTACTTTTAGTGATACCTGCTTTTTTACTGTAATGTATGATGTAGATAACATATCCATATTGTTTTTAAATCATAAAAGTAGTTATCTCCCTATCAGCAAGATAGTATTGAAGTATTCCCATTTATTTGAATTCCAATAACTAAAACTGGAGGTGCTACAACAGCACAAGCTTTCTCGCAATATTATGTCATCGTTATGTATTGTGTCTTTTTTACACTTCATCTCGAAAAGAAAGCGCGAAAAGTATTTTTTTTATTAAAATCTTTAAATGAAAATCAATTTCTGGCATTGAATGTAATGTATTCCCGAACATATCCGAATCGTATTTTAGTCTTAAAATATTTTGCGTAAGCATTGTGCGAGAAATGAAAAAAAAGTTAATAAATAATACGATCTAGTACCTGTGGCAGCGGCGGCTTTCGCTACAGCACGTTGTTGCCAGCGCTGCCTTAAAGCAGCTGAACTGTTTTGTTTGGCATACACATTTTAAAATGCACACTGATAGCATTGGGAAGCAAATGCAAATAGTTCTAAAAATACATAAAAGTAATTATTAAATTCTCTAGCATTGAAATATTCTCCAAATCTACACGTTACTTTTTGTGTGAACATGTAATGCAAAATGCTCCATGCGTTTTCACACGTAAGAAAATTTCTCCAAATTCTCGTTACTGATCGAAGAACAAACGTCCCTTTTTATCTGTATTCTGAATTCAACATGTATATGGGTGGGGGTAAGAATACC